TAGAAAAAATGCTAATACTGGCCTCCTAATTGCCACTCGGGCTGCAATACATGCAAAATATATCACTATCCAAGCTATACATTCACAGCAAACCAACTTAATACGACCTAGCGATAATATCATCCAAACTGAAATTAACCCTTCCACAATAATAAACAATACTTGTTCGTCGAAGCATATGAACTAAAAATCGTTCTTGGCCAATTTATTGCTTTACCTGAAAATATCATCGTTAACGATATTAGCCTGACTACAAATCTTTTTCACATGTCAATCATGAATCTTATAATGAGGTGCTTCGATCAGAAACTTCTTTTATCAATGATCAGGAATCTGATAATGAGACACTTCGATCAGAAACTCCTTCTACTGATTTATCACCCCACGTATCCGACAGAGAATTTGTCGAGCCAAAACCTTATTACTGTGAAAAGTGTTGCTCATTCCGGAAGACCAAGTTTTGTTCATCATGTCAGAATCCATTATTCGATGTTCAAGATTTCGATTCGAATTCATATATTCATCACCAGGACGGATCTTTCGACTCTAATGGTGTAAGATTTACTGATCGAATTTTAATGTACAGCGATAACGAGATCGTGATGGATGATTCTGATTAACTATCATCAAGTAATCTTATAAATTTCTAATTAGTTTGATAAACCGGTTAGAAATTATTTGATTCATTCTTTATCATCATAAATCAGTATTTTCAAGCTCAAAAAGCTCACGAAAATAATACAAATTTGATCGAGAAGTACACTACGTATCTCAACATTCTTGATTCTATAAAAAATGATAGAATTTCCATGGATCAACCTACTCTAGAGGTTATTTCTTTATTAAATGTAACTAAAAATTTGAAGGATAAAGATTGTCAAAAGCTTGATGCCTATAAAGCTAGTGAGCATAATTTCAGCCTTACTATATTGGTTTCCGATTCGAAGAATATTTGGCTATCTCAACGTATCAATCTTCTTAAAGATCATCATCTTTTGTGGCAAGTAACTGGAGAGCATGTGAAATTTGGTGAATCATTTATTGATTGTGCAAAACATGAAGCTGAAGAGGAGGCCGGGATCGTTATCGATAAACTTTTTTATATTACTAAGGTTTCGGGCTTTCACGAGTTCTCTGACGGGAAGGAGTGTCTTTACAATTGCGCTATTTACTTTTCTTTTATTGGTGAGCAGATTCCTAAGCGTGTCGAGCCTATGAATAATAGTGAGTAGCAGCCTTATGATGTTGCCGAGTTTGCCAAGCTAACCAACCTTACACCATCTCTCTTTGAGAGGCATAAGGATATTGTTGAGGCTATCAATATCAAGTTTCGTTCCCGTGCTAGGGCCATAACTGCCAAGAGAAAAAAAGAAATTGTCATGGAGGAAAATAATGAAAATATTGAAAAGAAAAAAAAGATAGATAGTGATAGCGTATCGGATAATTGAATCACTTAGATAGCGAGTAATTTTATTTTTATTATTATTATATTTATCATTCAGTCTACATTAACCGAATGGATTTTTAACTATGTAATTTGCTTTTTTTGCAAAACTACTATGGTAACTACAAATTCCACGATGCCCAGAATTAATTCCACGATGCCCAGAATTAATTTCATGTTAACCATATTGAAATAGCTAATTAATCTATTCAGTCGAAGACCGAATAGATTTTTCTTTATGTAACTTAAGATGTCATTATTCAAACATTGTATTTTATCACCTTCTGGAATTCATTGCGAGTTTTGCGATTGGAGTTTTCCAAGCATTCTTAATGGGAAGGAATATTTTATGCAACATCTTTACCAAGATTATAGAGAAATATTTGCAAATCTTTTAAAGAAACATTTTCTCCTTGATTATAACCAAATCTATAGCAATTAGATTTCTTAGGAACATGATTACGAGATAGCCACTTTTTACTTTTTAAAGTATAGGCATTTGTTCATTCAATACAATATTCTTTTTTTCGATCTTGATCAGATCGATTCTCCATGCTC